TCCTTGCAGCCCACACTGTGGCAAAGCCTGATGCTGTGGATTTCAGGCCTGTGGGCTAGAGTCTCACAACAATGAATCTAAACTACATAAAATTTCTACAGTCCCCATCCTAGGCCTGAATGCTGAGGGCCCAGTATGCCGTCTCTCTGTTCTGCAGCTCCACCACATGGCAAAGATAGAGAGGGAAGTGGGGTGTGCATCAAGGCAGGAGGGAGGGCATGGCAGCCATGTTGGCATTGAACTCTCTGGCTGGTCAAGGCAAGAAAGTCCCACTTTGGGAACAGGTGTCTCACATCCAGGTGCCTGGGTGTCATCCCAACTCTAGCTTCCTGCTAATGCAGACCCTGGGAGGCAGCGGAAATGGCTCAAGTAGTTGAGCTCCTGGGTGCAGTTTCTGCCCTGGCAGCTGTGGGTGTTTGGGGAGTGAATAAGCAAGTGGGACCCCTCTCTCTTTTGGTCTTTCTCCAATAATAAAAAAAAAGTAACTCTTTGGCTTTTACAGAGTAACTTTTCGCGGGAATTAGCCCTGGGGGCTGTTAAGGCCCTGCTCTGAGCCTGGTTGCTGCATGGTTACAATTTGTAGCTAAATGTTTGTTTTTTCTTTTTTTTTTTTCTGGCAGAGTGGACAGTGAGAGAGAGAGACAGAGAGAAAGGTCTTCCTTTGCCGTTGGTTCACCCTCCAATGGCCGCCGCGGCTGGCGCACTGCGGCCGGCGCACCGCGCTGATCCGATGGCAGGAGCCAGGTACTTATCCTGGTCTCCCATGGGGTGCAGGGCCCAAGCACTTGGGCCATCCTCCACTGCACTCCCGGGCCACAGCAGAGCTGTCCTGGAAGAGGGGCAACCGGGACAGAATCCAGCGCCCCAACCAGGACTAGAACCCGGTGTGCCGGCGCCGCAAGGGGGAGGATTAGCCTAGTGAGCTGCGGCGCCGGCGGCTAAATGTTCTTGCATTTACTTAGTGCACTTCTCTGTCCTCTTGTGTCCAGAGCTGCTGCCAGGTGCCTACCATTTAGCAGCTCAGATCTGTTGATGGAGGAGATGAGAGGAGGAGCCACACGGCCTGTTTTGCTGCCTTGTGCGCTTTTATGATGAAGAAAGTAAGAGTTAGAATGGGGTTGTCCAGTAAAACAGAGAACCAGGTTTCTAAGGCATCTCCGTGATTCAGGAAAAAAAACCCACCTGTGAATAAACACCTGTGGGGTGTGGCTGATCTTGGGAAGGATGCAGAGAAAAAAAAAATCCCCTCCTATAGTGGTCTGCTCGTGAAAGAAGCTTTTTACCCCTAAAGATCCCCCACCTCTGGCAGGCAACTTTGCGTATTAGAATACACGACTCATCTATGTATGTATGTATGTATGTATGTATCTATCTTTCTTTCCTTCCTTCCTTCCTTCCTTCCTGATTTATTTATTTATTTATTTATTTGAAAGAGTTACACAGAGAGAGGAGAGGCAGAGAGAGAGAGAGAGAGGGGTCTCTCATCTGATGGTTCACTCCCCAATTGGCTGCAATGGCTGGAGCTGTGCCAATCCGAAGCCAGGGGCCAGGAGCATCCTCTGGGTCTCCAATGTGGGTGCAGGGGCCCAAGGACTTGGGCCATCTTGTACTGCTTTCCCAGGCCATAGCAGAGAGGTGGATCTAAAGTAGAGCAGCTGGGTCTCAAACTGGTGCCCATATGGGATGCCGGTGCTCAGGCCAGGGCGTTAACCTGCTGCGCTACAGCGTGGCCCCAACGATTCATCTTTCTGAGATGAGATCTGGCATCCAGGCCAATGGGGAAACATTTGCAGGGCTTTTTCTTTTCCTGTTTGCATTTTCCCCCCAAGCCGTGCACTGGGGTTTGGGCCACGTAAGCAGGGGTGGAACCAGGAAGTCCCAGGTATGTGGGCTGTTTGCTCAGGTAGATGGAGAGCTGCAAAGTGGGTCTGAATAGGAACTGTCTCTCCAGTTGTTGAAAAAAAAAAAAAAAAAAAAACAGGCACAGACAAGGATTTCCCCTGCCAATCAGAGAACTCCCTCATTTTCTAACAGGATGCAGATAGCCATGTCTGGGAGTGTATACAAAGCAAACACTCCCAGGAACACGAGGCCACAAGCCTTCTGGATTGGAAGTGACATACAGAGCCCCTGTTTCTTCCAGGGTGGAAGATGGGAGGTACCTTTGAAATGTTTGGGGGAAAGTGGAATTAAAAGATAATGCATGGGGCAGGTGTTTGGCATGGTGGTTAAGATGCAACTTGGGACACATCCCACATTGGAGTGCCTGGGTTTGAGTCCTGGCTCTGCTTCTGATTCCAGTTTCCCTGGGAGGCAGCATGGATGGCTCGAGTGCTTGGGCCCCTGCCTCGCATGTGGGAGACCTGGATGGAGTCCTGAGCATCTGGCTTGCAGGTATCCGGGGAATGAACCAGCAGATGGAATCTCTCTCTCGTTCTCTGTGTACATATGTCTGCCTTTCAGAGAAATTAACTTGTTAAAAGGTGTCGTGTGTTTTCCACATAAAGCAGTTTTAGGAATCAACTCAATCAAGAAATAAGCTAGAAACTCTATCATCATGATGAAATTTGAAATAGTGCATTTTCACTCTTACTTAGGATCTCCTTTCCTGGGGTCTTTACTAAAATTCAGCCTGTTCTAAATGTCTACTTTTGCCTCTTAGGAGTTGAGGGAACTTTCCCTCTTCCCTGTCATTGGCCTTAAACTCTGCTAGCTCTCGGATATAGCAATTCCCAGGAAACTGAAGTCTGCCGATCTGTGCACATATAATGCCGCCATGTAGTGTATGTGTCCTGTGATTGGGACCCCTGAAGTGGCCCTGGGGGACACAGACCTTCCACAGTGACCATTTTCAGCCTGGGTCTTTCCCTACCCCCACCTTCCTTGTTCCCATGCAAGCTGCGGGTTTCTGTGTTTCCCACCGCTAGAAAATTGTCATTCCTCATTCCGGAGTGACACAGAAAAACACGCGGCTCCACACGAATGGAGAAGAATAAGCAAAGAGTTCGAGGCACGAGGCATTGCCTGGGAGTAGAGGGCAGTGTCAGCACCCATGGGAGAGTCTGGCCTGGGACAGCTACTGGGCCTGCAGGGAGAGGATGTAAAACCCTGGGCAGGCTCTAGTCCAGTCCTGATGGTGTTGATTAAGTTTCAGCGAGGTAGCCCAGCCGGGAGCTTGAATAATAGGCTAATAAGATCATGGTCAAAGATACAGTTGGCAAGCAACACACCTTTTAAAAGTGTTCTTGGAATACTTAGCAAAAGTAATCATCTGCTAAATCTAAGGGAAAAAAAAAAAAAACATGTTTCCATGTTTCCCAAAACAGACACTGCCCTGATCCCAGTCTCTGGCTGTCAGAAAGCTTACCTGGAAATTCATTTTTCAAAGGTTAACTAAACCACATGCAAAACAAACTCCCACCACTTGAAAATGGAACAAACAAAAACTAAAATAAAAACCTACCAAAAGCTGTAAACATTAAGGAGGAGCTAACCACTGCAAGTGTAGACTCTTAAAAACTTTTTTTCTTTCCGCCTGTTTTCATTATATTAGAAAGGCAGGGCCGGCGCCGCGGCTCACTAGGCTAATCCTCGGCCTTGCGGCGCCGGCGTGCCGGATTCTGTCCCGGTTGCCCCTCTTCCAGGCCAGCTCTCTGCTATGGCCCGGGAGTGCAGTGGAGGATGGCCCAGGTGCTTGGGCCCTGCACCTGCATGGGAGACCAGGAGAAGCACCTGGCTCCTGGCTTCGGATCAGCGCGGTGCGCCGGCCATTGGAGGGTGAACCAACGGCAAAAAGGAAGACCTTTCTCTCTGTCTCTCTCTCTCACTGTCCACTCTGCCTGTAAATAAAAAAAAAAAAAAAAAAAAAAAAAAAAAAAGGCAGAGAGAGAGAAACAGAGAATCTCCCATCTACTGGTTCACTCCCCAAATGGCCACAACAGCCTAGACCAGGAAGAAGCCAGGAGCCAGGAATTCCGTCCAGTGTCGCTCCCCCTCTTCACGGAGGAATGACATTAAACCCTGCGCTGTTCTTTTGTCTGCTCGGCCTCCCGGGTTGCTGCTGTTCTTCCGGTGCTACGTCCTCACTCACCTCGTGAGGGGCGGGCCCCCTGCCACTTTCCCCACTTCGCGGGGGAGCGCACACTGGCCGGCTCTCTCGGGGGCTGCTCAGATGTTCCTCAGGTGTTCCCCTTAGATGTTCCTGGTGCATGTTGTCTCTCTCCTCCTTTATAGTCCTCTTCCACCAATCCCAACTCTGCTACCCACACGCCGAGTACGCTGCGCTCCTCCAATCAGGAGCAGCTCCTGCAGCTTGTCAAGTTGGTGAGAGGCAGCTGTGTAGAAGCTGTTTACTCCTCTCCCAGCACCATATTGTGGGAGAGCAGATGCATAGAATAAGTCTTAATTCCAGTAACTTAGTCTAGTCCGAGTTGCTCCCCACAGTCCAGGTCTTGCACATGGCTGGAAGGATCCTGCTGCCTCCAGGGTGTGGACTAGCAGGAAGCTGGATTGGAAATGGAGCCAGGACTTGAACAAGGCACTCTGATATGGGATATGGGTATCCGCAGGCAGCATATTAATGAACACCTGCCCCAGTGTAGATCTTATAAGAAAAGAAAGGTGTAAGTAAATACAGGGGCTGGCATTGTAGCTCAGTGGATTAAGTCACCTCCTGCTATGTAGGCTCCTATCTGAGCGCTGGTTCAAGTCCAGGCTGCTCCACTTCTGATCCAGCTCCCTGCAAATGCACCATGGAAAGCAATGAAGATGGTCCAAGTATATGGGACCTTGCCTGGCCCAGCCCTGGTCATTGTGGCCATTTGAGAAGGGCTCTGCCTATATACATAATATATAAATCTTAAAAAAATAAAAATTCATTTTCTCAGTCACACTAGCCAAGTTTCCATGCACTTGATGGCCACTTTTGACTGGTAACCACTGAATTGGTCACAAATAGTTCAGAACTATTGCATTGCTGCAGAGTTTATTGCATAGAACTCTTTTGTTGCTCAAGATTTATTTATTTGAAAGAGTTAGAGGGAAAGAGAGAGAGAGAGAGAGAAATCTTCCATCTACTGGTTCATTCCACAAATGGCTGTGATGGCCAGGGCTGGGCCAGGAGCATGGAACTCCATCCGGGTCTCCCACGTGGGGGCAGGGGCCTAAGCACCTGGGCCACCCTCTGCTGGTTTCCCAGGCGCATAAGCAGGGAGCTGGATTAGAAGTGGAGCAGCGGAGGGACTTAAAACTAGTGCTGGCATTGCTGGTGGGGGCTTCACCTGCTGCAACATAACGCCGACCCCTGGATGGAACTCTTTAACAGCAAGAATCAGTAAAACAATGTACCTAAGAAACAGGGAGAGGAAAGACAAATATTGTGGATAAAGTTCAGAATGACAACAGAAGCAACATAAAACCCATAAAAAGTTGTAAAAGACATCTCTGCTAATACTTTCGGAACTATTATTTGTTGATTCGAATTGCTCATTTTATTGAGTTTATTTCCTTTGCAAGAAATTGAGACTCTGGGTTTGCCCTCAAGAACAGCGAGGCCTATTACCTCCTAAATTCCTGAATCGCCTGTAAAATGTAAAGGAGCATACTTCGAAAATCTTGTGGGAAATACGAGCAAAAAAAAGTTAGCTTATTGTGGTGCCGTAGAACCTGGGAGTCCACACGTTTCCCATAAAGTATCTGAAGACCCCAGAAAAGCAGAGTAGGCAGGAATGTCGTTTTTACAAAGCGACCCTTAGGGGGAATTGCCCAAAATGTGGAAATCGCTGTGAGGAAAACCCCTAAAAATAACGTGCAAACAGCGGTCCTTCCGCCGCAGAGGGCAGGATGGCACCTTGGCTGCTGCCCCCTGCTTTGGGCCCCAGCGGGGCTCAGAACCTGGGTCACTGCCTGCCTGGCTGAGCCCCTCAGGACCCGTGTCCAGCTGCACAGGGTGGGACCCTGGGCGTCATCCGGGCTCCCGGTGAGCTTCGGGAGCCAGCCTCTTCCTCCTGCTCCCTGGGCCTCCACCCCAGAGCCAGGAGGGTGGCCCCCGAGGGTGGGCCTGCCCGTCGTCCTTTCTGCTTAGAGTCTCCCGCCGCCCTTGGTCCTTCCTCGCTGGGCCTCCGGGCTCCTCTCCCTCTGCACTTTCACCTTCGTCGGCCCTGAGCCACCCCTGGCTTGGAGGCCGCGATTCACAAGTCGGCTCCGCCCCCGACCCCGCTGCGCACCTACTGGGGGTGAAGCTGGCACCGCGCGACCCTAGACACCCCCCCCCCCCCCAGTCGCAGGCGCTGAGCGCGGTCCGGGTTCGAATTCTAGCCCCGCCGGCCGGGAACAGATGGGAAAAGCCTCGTGCGTCCCGGGGTCCCCTCCCGTCACGGAGATGGCTTCTAATCAGGGGTCTCGGGAGCCGACGTGGGTTGCCCGCTGTGCCCCTGCCTCAGTTTACCGGAATCGGTGCCCGCGGCCCCTTGTTCTGTTTGGGTGACTGGGGAGCGTCCCACGGCCGCTTCCCCGGGGGTGACTCGGGCAGCCGCCGTCCCTCAGCCGCCCCTCAGCCGCCACGCGGTGCCACATCTCTTTCCCGGGCACACGCCCCAAGTTCGCGTCTGCCCCAACTTTCCCCAACGTCCTGCCTCGCACGGTCCGAGCCCGCTAGAGGCCCTCCAGGGGCGCTCCCCACCCACTCGCGTCCTCCGGTGCCGACCGCCAGGCGGCGCTGCCTCGGCCCCATTGCTGGCGCGGCCAGCGCAGCCTCGCGCGCGCGCGCCCGGGGGGCGGGGCCAGCGCGCGGCAGCTCGCTCGCCCATTGGCTCATGGCGAGGGCGGTGCTGCGGACGCCGTCAACGCCCGGCCTGGAGTCCACGGGGCGGAACGCGCCGCGGGCTTTGTGGTGCGCCGACCTCGCTAGCTGGCTGGGGGCCCTGGCACGTCTTGGGCCCGCCTCCCGCCGGGGAGTGGGAGGGAGAGACACGCACACGAAGTCGACCAATCCTGGGGCTGCCCTTAGGGGCGCCTGTCTCCCGCCCCCTTCCTGGCATTGGCGTGCACCGTAAGTCTCCGAAGAGTTCCGCAGATGATAGTGGGGCCTCCCCCGTGGACGCATACAAACACACGCGCACTCCTTGATCTTCCCCCCTCCCCACATACTAAGAGCCGACCAATCCTGAGGCGGGCGTGGCGGGCTGGCCCCTGCCCCCTCCCCCCGGGACTCCGCGGCTGCGCTCGCCGTAAGTCTCCGAAGAGCTCCGCAGCACTGGTGAGCGGCATTGTTGTGGAAGCGGAGCGGCGCCTCCGGACTCGCGCCGTTGACCTCTCAGCCGCCACTGAATCGTTCCTGGGTCCGAGTGGAGCCGAACCCCCAGGGTCAGGGTCCGTGGCCCGCGTGGGCGATGCGGGCTTCGAACGTGAGCTCAGCCGATGGCTTCTCGGAGAGCGATTGGCACGGGGACGCCGCTCTTCCGTTTGGAAATTTCTGGAAAGTAGCCATTTTTGGACTAATCTTGAGGTGTTTGGTTTTATTTTTTTTCCCGCCATTTTAAAACTGGAGAAGCCTGGAGCGAGGCGCTGCTGCTGTGGAGACGCTCCGTAGTGGCTTTGCGTCTTCTTTTACTTTTCTTTTTTCTTCAGCTTTTTTTCCTCCGTGTTTTGTGTTTCGTGTTTTTAACCACACGCCCGCTTTCTTTACATTTTTTTTTTCTAAAAATGTGAAGCTGAAAATTTTTTTTTAACACTATATCCACTGGAGCACTCCCAGATGGCCAGGATGGGTGGCCTGGGGCGGGAACTCTATCCAGGCAAGGCCCAGGCACTGCAGGCTTCCTGCTGCCTTGCAGGTTCGCGGGAGGGGGAACCCGGGGTCAGGAGCCGGCGCTGGGACTCGAACCGGGATCTCCCACATGGGGCGGGTCTCTCAGCCCACTGGGCCGCGCGCTTGCTGCTGAAGAGGTTCTGACTGCGGTGTTTAAGTGCGCAGGCCACATTTTCGTATAGATTTCAGGGGGCATTTTAGGGGTGTCTCATAGTGACACCATGGGGCTCAGCACACAAAACACATCCCTGACAAAAATAAGTTATAGGGGCGTAGGGGGTAAAGCCTCAGCCTGGGACACTGGCATCCCATGTGGGCACTGGTTCGAATCCTGGCTGCTCCACTTCCCATCTAGCTCTCTGCTAATGGCATGAGAAAGCAGTAGAAGGTGGCTCAAGTGCTTGGGCTCCTGCACCTGCGTTGGAAGACCTGGAAGAAGCTCCTGGCTTCTAGCATTGGATTGGCACAGCTCTGGCCGTTAAGGCCATTTGGGGAGTGAACCAGCGGATGGAAGACCTCTGTCTCTGCCCCTCTATAACTGCCATTCAAATAAGTAATTAAATCTTAAAAAGGAAGAATTTTTCTTAGTATTTTCTTATACCCTGAGATTTCCACTTTTTTTTTTTTTTTAAAAGATTTATTTATTTGAAAGGCAGAGTTAGAGAGAAGGCGAGACAGAGAGAGATCTTCTGGTTCACTCCTCAAACGGCTGCAGTGGCCAGAACTGGGCCTGTCTGAAGCCAGGAGCCAGGAGCTTCATCCTGGTCTCCCACGAGGGTGCAGGGGCCTGAGCACTGTGGCCCTCCTCTGCTGCTTTCCCAGGCCATAGCAGAGAGCTGCATCAGAAGTGGAGCAGCCAGGACTTGGACCAGCGCCCATTTGGGATCCTGGCGTTGCAGGCGGTGGCTTTACCTGCCACGCCACAGCACCTGCCCCTCACTTTCTTCCTCTCTTCCGGGTGTGGGACGTTAAAGGGGTGAGGATAGTGCTCCCCGGAACTTCTGGAGGACTGGAGTGGCCCTGTCTCCACTGTGCTTTGCTGCTCCAGCAGGTAGCAGGTTTCCTGTGCCCTCCCTCTGCATTCCACACATATTTGTTGAATGAATGAGAAAGAATTGGAAGTGCCAACAACTTATTGAATAGTCCATAGAAGAACAAAGCTGTTATGAAAACACACTCCGCCCTCAGCCCTCAGGTTCCTGTGTTGATTTTGCAATGAGTCAAAAATGCCCTAAAGAGAAACTGCAAAAGGTCTCAGTGAGCCTGTTGGCGGCTCCTCCTCTTCCTCCCCCACCTCTCCCTCCTCCTCCTCCTCCCCTTCCTCCACTCCCTCCTCCTGCTTCTAAGATTCCTTTATTTGAAATTGAAAGTGATAGAGGGAGAGACTGAGAGAATCTTCCATCTGCTGGTTCACTCACCAAATGGTGGGCTGGGTGAAGCCAGGAGCCAGGTGCTTCCCAGGCGTCTCCCATGTATGTGGCAGGGGCCTAGGTACCTGTTTGCTTTCCCCAGGCACATTAACAGGGAGCTGGATCAGAAGTGGAGAAGCTGGGACTCGAACCTGTGCTCCCACGGGGGATGCCTGTGCTGTGCCTCAAAGCTGGCCCCTCAGCTCTTCTTGTATGATAGCTGTTGGCAGATCATGATATGGATCAATAACATTCGCATATCGTATGTATTTCAGGCACTGGCATTGTGCAGTGGGTTAAGCCGACGCCTGTGATGCCGGCATCCCCTAGGAATATGGGTTCTAGTCCTGGCTGCTCCACTTTTGATTCAGTTCCCTGCTAATGTCTCAGGAAAGCAGCAAAAGATGGCCCAAGTCCTTGGGCCCCTGCACGCATGTGGGAGACCCGGATGAAGCTCCTAGCCCCTTAAGGGCTTAAGCTTGACCCAGCCCTGGCATTTCACAGTGAAATCTTTTTCTGTTTCTCTGCCTTTGAAATAAAAATGAAAATAAATGAACAATTTAAAAAGCAGATACAGAACAGTGCCATCATCGTCTCCCCAGCCCCTGTCCCCAGATTCCCCCGTGTGCCTTCGCAGCGTCCACAGTTCCAGCCCCTGGTGACTGTGGGGCAGTGTCCTTTGTCACGGTGGTTCTGCCTTTAGTGGGAGTCAGGCCGTCTGTGACGTCGCCTGTCTGCCTCTGGCCTCGTCTGCGGGCGTCTGATCGCCTGATCGCTTCCTGGCTTTGTCTGGGCTTTGTCGGGCCTTTGAGGGAAAGAGCCCATCTTCCAGCCCAGGAAATGGGCCCCTTCCTGTTCTCACTCGGGCCTTGGCAGACAGCAGGGTCTCAGGTCATTGTTGTCTGCCTTAAATATTGCTTCCTGCAATTGAGCGTCCCCACAGAGAGATGAGGGTGATGATGATGATGATGATGTTAATAATCACGCCCTGTGCAGGTGGCAGGCTTGCGGCGGCGGTGGGGGGTGTGCATCTGGACTGAACATGTGCTGGCTTTTTCCTGTCCTTGTTCCCTGAACAGCACAGCGGTACGTTGTGCGAGGCATTCTCAGTCATTGTAGGTTCCATGCTGATGGAAGGGGCTTGAGCATCTGCACAGCTTGCCGTCTGCACGGGTCCTGGAGCTCAGTCCTCCCAGATCCCAAGGGGAGATTGTACCAATGAGAGCCCCAGTGGTGGCCCCAGTGACACAGCTAGTCAGAGTGTGTGTCAGAGAAACCTGTGTTTTGCTTAAAGTCTCATTTAGTTCTTGGGACAACCTTGAGAAACAATGGCCCATTAAGCCCATTTACAGATGAGAAAACTGAGGCTGCTATTATTCTTTACAGAATCCTTTTTTTTTAAATTAAGTTTTTTATTTGAGAGGGAGACAGTATTTTTTTTTTTTTTTTTTGAGAGAGAGAGAGAGAGAGAGAGAGAGAGAATCTCCATCCACTCATTTATTCCTCAAATGTTCCTGATGGTTGGGGCTGAAGCCTGGAGCTGAGAACTCATGTGGGTGGCAGGGACTCAAGTACTTGAGCCGGCACCTGCTGCCTCCCAGGGTGCGCATTAGCAGGAAGCAGAGCTCAGAACTGCAGATGTCCTCCTTGCCTGTTAACCCCGAGACAAATGCTTTGCTGCCCTGTGTCTCTCCCGACTCTATCTTCGGTGACTTCCTGTTGGTGGCCTGACACCTGCGGCGGGTGGGGGTGGGGTGAGGAAGATGCTCCCACCGTGGGAATGCCCTCCTCCCTCAGGAGGTGGTTGAGTGTTTAGGAACACTGCCCTGGGGCGGGGGCTTTGGGCATTAAGGGAGGCACCAGGGACGGGGCAGGTGCTGCAGAGGTGTGACCGATGCTGCTCCTACATTGCCTGGCTTCTGTGCCCTCAGCCAGGGCTGCTGCAAATGCAGCCTGGAGCCGGACCGAGCCACCAAGCCTCTGTGTTTCTGTTTTCTCTGCAGTGTGCCCGACCATCTGTAAGTCGCACGGCTGCACCGCCGAGGGCCTCTGCTGCCACAGCGAGTGCTTGGGCAACTGTTCCGAGCCCGACGACCCCACCAAGTGCACCGTGTGCCGGAACTTCTACCTGGATGGCCGGTGCGTGGAGACCTGCCCGCCCCCCTACTACCACTTCCAGGACTGGCGCTGCGTGAACTTCAGCTTCTGCCAGGACCTGCACAACAAGTGCAAGAACTCGCGCAGGCAGGGCTGCCACCAGTACGTCATCCACAACAACAAGTGCATCCCCGAGTGCCCCTCGGGGTACACGATGAACTCCAGCAAGTGAGTCCGGGGTGGGTCTGGGGTGGGCGGTGCGGAGGGCAGGGCGTGTGGGAGTGGTGATGGGAGCTCACGTGGTGGAACTCTGCAAAGCCACAGCTAACTGGCTACGAGCTGGGCTGGCGCAGGTTGAGGTTTGCGTGTTAGAGCATTGTGCAAAGCCAAAATCAGCTGCT